CCGGGCCTTCTACCTAAGGCAAGGCGTGGGCAGCGCCCTTTGTGGCCACACGGGGGCAGCAGGACCTCTGGCAGGGGACGTGCCCGTGCCACCTCTCTGTGCCGCCTCTTGGGAGACACACGCTTCTGTCTCTGGTGTTCCTGGGCCTAGCCAAGGCCTGGCTGCAGGGTGACATCCTGCATACAGTGTCCCTGCAGATGAAGGCTGGCCTTATCCATGTTTGATTTTCCTCCATCTGTAAAACCGCGTACCCACACAGATGGATCTGTCCCAGCACGTATCACTGTCCCAGCACAGCGTGCACACTGAAAGCATACTCAGAGCGAAGGAAAGAGGTAAAGTGGTAATAGAAGTTGTCATCCTTTCTTCTCACCCCACCCCCACCGTCTTATGAGCTGCCAGGTGTCTACACCACACGTCTGCTGGCCCAGGTGGCCTCAGGTCCGCTCTGGGTGGGGTGGGGGAGAACGGCGGTGGTCACTGCGATCCCGCCATGGACATTCCAGTCTTGCCCTGCCCGTGGGCAGGGGTGAGCTTGCGCTCCCCACCCTCGGAGGTCAGGTTTGGCCGCGTGACTGCTTCGGCCAAGGAAATGTGAGCAGAAATGACGTGAGTCACTTCCACGTGGTGCTTTAACCGCCGGGGACAGGGAGGGGAGGGGAGGGGAGGGGAGGAGGGCCGAGAGGAAAGCAGTGTTTCCCCAGGCTCGGCTGCTGTAACCAAATGCCACGGGCCGTGTGGCTTAAATAGCAGACATTTATTTCCTCGCAGTACCGGAGGCTGCAAGCCCCAGGTCAAGGTGTCACAGGGCCAGTTTCTCCCGAGGCCTCTCTCCTGCGCTTGTAGACGGCCATCAGCTCCCTGTGTCCTCACGTGGTCATCCCTGTGTGTGTCTGTGTCCTAATCTGTTCTTACTAGAACACTAGTCAGATTGGATTAGGCCCCACCCATATGACCTCATTTTTCCTGAATTATCTTTTTAAAGGCCCCACCTCCAAACACAGTCCCATTCTGAGATACCGGGGGTTAGGGCTTCAATATGAATTTTGTGGGGGACACAATTCATCCCATAGCAGAAGGTGAAGCCATTTTTCCCAGTGGTGGCAGCAGGCAGAGGTGGGGACGGACAGAAGACCTCCTGAGAATGGCCCACTTAGCTGTCGCAGGGATCCCAGAAGGGCTGCCGCCGAGCTTGCCGAGGTCCTGGGCGCAGGCGGGGTGGGCTCTGTGTATCACCGGATGCTCCCTGCCCCGCCCTCCCCATGGTCCTGTAGGCCCCTGGGTCCCTGAACCAGGCCCTTCCCTTCCTGGAAGGCTAAGACGGCTCCACTTTCCCGACCACACCCATCTGGTACAGACAGGACGAGGGGAGGGGCGTCTGTCCCACCCTCGCCCAACGGTGGGGCCCCGAGTCCAGCAGGTGGGGGTGTGGAGGTGAGCACCCTGAGCTGGGCCCACCTGGGCAGGTGATCTCTTGGAGGGGACCAGGAGTCCGCTTGTCATCTCTAACTCAGATTTCCCATGGGACTCTGGCTATTCTGGGCAGACACCCCTTCCTTAGTGCTTCTGTTCTCCTGCCATGGAGCAGGGGTAAGAAGCCCAGCTCCTGGGGGCTCCCTGCTTAACACACGGTTTAGCAAAGCTCTATGCCCCGAAAGGCTGCTCAGAGGGAGTCTTCCAGCTTCTTTCCTGGCGGTCCCTGCAGGTGGAGACGTTCACACCAATCTACCTCCTGCAGCAAGTGGCGGGTGACTACTTTCCAGAGCCCTCAAACACTTTCATCTTCCTTTTCTTCTTTTCTTTTAAATTGACACATCATAATTGTACATACTTATGGGTACACAGTGATGTTTTGATACATTCAGTGTATAATGATCAAATCAGGGTAATTAGCATATCCACCACCTCAAGCGATGATCCTCAAAGAAATAACATACGTTCAAACACTTGTGAGGTTTCTCTTCCTGAATCAGTTTCCTTCGGAGACCCCTAGCTGTCTCCGTGGCCCTTTGCTCTGAGCCTGTGAACAGGGTATTTAAAAATAGCACATCTGAAACCTCCAGCCTGGTTGCAAAAATCATCATCCATCCACCCACCCGTCCACCACCCTTTCATTCAACCCAGTGCTCGGCCCTGTGTGCGCCGTACGGGGACAAGCTAAGAGGAAGTCACTTTGTCTTCTTCGTACGCATACCTTCTTTCCAAGTATTTTTTATTTCGCTTTTACTAACAGCAATGTAGAAACAAATAATCATAAAAAATAAAAGTATAAAGTGTCCATCGATTACGTAATAGCACTTGGTATTGCTACGGGGGTGGGTCTTGGGCTTGGCCAGGCCAGGTGCAGCCTGCCCAGGCCCTCAGGCCTCTGTGATGGCTCCCGAGCCCACAAAGGCAGGAGACATGGCTACACGAGACAGCGCCAGTGGAGACTTCGCGTGTTACACCCGGGAAGCCCGGGCATGGCAGGGAGATGGAGGGATAGTGGGTAGAACCGGAAACAGCGCTGCGTATACGTGGAGGATGGTGGCGGTGGAGGTCAGGCCGGCCCTGCTGCTGCCCCACAGACCCCGCAGACCCCGCAGAGCAGGGACGTCACAGGGTTGAGTCGATTCGGTCAGTTGTGCTCACTGTGGACGGGGAGGGAGCTGAGGACACTGGACGGCACTCGGGAAACACACCGCCTTCCCCTCCACTCTCTGCCCTGCTCGCCCCCTTCTCTTGCTCCGCCTCATCCCCTGACAAAATTCTCTTGGGATGAACTTGGGCAAAATAGCTGAGACATAGACCCTATCCCCAAACGTGTCTTGATCTTGGCCTCCTCTCAGAGCAAGGCGGGCGGGCACAGATGCCGAGCAGCTACGTCGCTCAGGTGCACCCAGTTCAACTGGACGGACCACACTCAACGAAACCTCCCAGCTCCGGCTGAATCCGCTTGCTTCTGTTACTGTAATGACTGACTTCTAAAAGAACAAAAAAAGCTCAGTCTGGCATTTTTTCAGACTGTGGGATGGGCTTGCCTGCGTGGGTTCAAGGATGTTTACGGCGTGTTCTCCGCCGTGTGGGCAGGTGGGTGCGTGCGGGCCGGCCCAGGACCTCCAGGGCTCGTCTGGAAGGGGCGGCAGGAGAGGAAGGGCTCTCCCGGCCTGGGCAGTGCGCGTGCAGAGCTCTGAGCAGGGCAGCGCTGCGCGGTCCTATGGGCCTCAGTGCACGGAGTAGGGTGGACACAAAACCTTGGCTACGCTGTTCTACCTTCTTTGAAAGAAGCATAAACCCCCTGGCTCTTTAAAATTACGAGGAAGAGACCAAGTTCCTTCCTGTCTACAAGGGACCATTCATTTGCATCTTCCCACCCTCAGCCCACTAGGGGAAAGCAGCCTCTCCCTGTGTAGCTCACAGTGTGTGTGGACACGGCCCGTGGAGATCATGCAGGGAGGAGACAAGACAGACACACAGAGCAGCCGGACACCGTGCTTAGACTACGGGACTACTGTCCCATAGCCCACTGTCCAGGCCCTGCCCTGCCGTTGCCCCGAACATCCTGAATTGCCACGCGGGAGGTGAGCGGGTGCGAGTGAGGCGGGGCATAGAGGGGTAGGCAGTGCATGGGTTTGGCAAAGCGTCGGGACCACCTTTGGGGTTCAATTCACTGACACGGGACCTGCCTAGGCATCACTAACAACCGTTCCACACGTCAACATCCACAGCCACGGAGCAGCCGTGCCACCTGGAGAGTCGCCCTCCTTCCCCAGGCTTCACTGCGCTCCCTTGTCAACGAGAGGGCTCAGCTAGGTGACACCGCAGGTCAAAAGGACTTCCGGTCTGAGGACTCCGCCGGGCTGGGCCGTGCAGGGTGAGTCGCCCCGGCTGACTCTCTAGCCGGCCGAGGTCTCGGCCCTGGATCCTCACACTTGATAGGGAGACGCTCTTAAATCACATCCTAAACTCTGCACCTGACCTGCCCACCTGGCTTCCCCATCTGGACGAAAACCGAACAGTTATTAACAAGTTAGCGACACATTAGTAACAGTCTCAGTGAAAACCAGTGGTTAGGTCAGGCACAGGGTCTCAGAGGAGACTCAGGACAGGCTCTGGGCTCCCCGGATTGTCTTTCGGGGGAGGACAATAAGGGGATGTAGGTGACACCATCAGAACCCCCAGGAGGCCTCCGTTGCGCCCCCTGCAGGAGGGTTTTATGGGAAGCCCGCCCAGGACCTGCCTGGTTCAGTCACCAGGGGTGTCCTAGGCAGGCTCCCTGGGGCTGTGGGGGGACAGCAAAGGGGCCCTCTGGAGGGTGTGACTGGGGCACAGGGCCAGGGAGGCAATGGGGGCACCTGTGCTCGCTGCACCCAGGCTACGCTAGTGTGTGCCTGTCACACGCCCCGGCACACCTGGGGACGATGCACGCGGCCTGTGGCGCCGGGTGGAAGAGCAACGGCGGCCCCGACCGCGGGCTCTCCCGGGCACTGGCTGCGGCTGTGGAGCCTGCGTCCCCAAGCACCGCTTTGTCATTCCTTTTGATTTTCCTTCCTGGTGGGCTCCTTTCAAGGCTGCTGAGTCACCTACTTAGGGTGAATTCGAGCCTTGCACTTAGAGGACAGCAACAGCGTGGGAGATGGGCAGTGTGACGTGTCTCATCTCCCCAGGACCCTTGCGGGGGAGCCTTCTGCAAGAATGACAGCTTTGGGGCCTCCCTTTGGGAATCCCAGTTCATAGCACCAGTGATTCCAGGAAACAGGAATGTGGGCCACCAAAGGATGGATCACGCTGGGAACCAGGTTCTCCTTAACGTCTGGTTGGAGCGGCCCTTCTGCAGAGCTCTTTGGGCACGAAACGGGCGCCAGTCCAGGAGGCACTGGGACCACAGCTGGGGCCCCGGGGAGCACCGTCCCACAGGTCCTGAGGCCCCCGAGCCGCCAGCCGCAGGAAGCCCTGCCTCTGGGAGACCCGCTGGGGCAACTGGGCCTGGGCTTCCTCCCACCCCGCCCCTCCAGGGCCTCTCAGCAGAGAGAGAACCTCCGGGAGTTGATGTTCATCTTGGTGACGCCAATGAGCTTGAGGGGCGTGGAGAGGCTGAAGGAGGAGGCCAGGGGCGAGTCGCAGAAGAGGTCGGCCAGCTCGTCCCGCTCCTCCAGCTCGTAGGTGGCGTCGTTGAGCATCCTCCTGTGCAGGCGGCAGGTGTGCTCGATCTTCAGCTTGTTGATGTCGCCGCGCAGGCGCATGAGCTGTCTGGCCAGCTGCTGGTCCTGCAGCCGCATCTCCGTCTGGAAGGCAGGGAGGAGGCGTGAGCACAGGGACAGACCCGCGAGCGAGTCCTAAAGAACCGATTGGTCCATCTGGAAACACTAGCCCTTCGCCAGCTCGGGGAGGTGGAAAGACACAGACGGCAGGGGGACAAAGGGGGTGTGCTTGCAAAACAGTATCTGCAAGGGCGGCTTCACACCTTAAACACGACCTGGGGCCCCGATGAAGAGGTAACTCCGCTGCGATCCAACCAAACCTCGCGAGTTCCCACAGCCTCCGTAGAAACCCGAGCAGCGGCTAAGAGGTTTTATTCTTTGCTCAGAGTTTTTAAAAATGGTGGCAGAATCTGTACAACGTACAATTGACCATCGTAATCAGCTCAGGGCGCAGCTCAGGGGCAGTCAGTGCTTTCCCATTGCTGTGCACCCGTCACCACCCACCGCCGGAACCCGAGAGTTCATCTTCCCAAACCGGAACTCTGCTCCCAAAGACGCTGACTCCCACTCCCCTGCCCCAGCCCCTGGCATCCCCGATTCTACCTCCTGTCTCTGCAAATTGACCAATCCAGGGGCCTCATGTAAGTGCCATCACGCGGTATTTGCCTTTTCGTGACTGGCTGATTTCTCCTGGCGTAACACCCTCCCGGTTCGAACGGCTGAGCGGCTCTTTAATACACTAATCTTTCTAGAAGTCTACAGGGAACCAGTCTCTGCTGATCCGTGTGCAGGAAGTCAGGAGAATGGAGCTGCTGGGAGGACACAGGGGCTGCAGCGTGGTCAGAGACCAGGGCCGGGCTGGGGCTAGAGTCCCCCCTCCTCTCTTCTCTTGCCACCAAGCTCTGCTAAGGGACCCCTCAGAGGCAGTGATGCCAACACAGCCCTGGTTGCTGCCACACGTGGCTTGGTGAACCTGACATACGTGGTCTCACTGCATCCTCCCACGGCTCTAGAGGTGGGCATGGTCTGTTTCACAGAAGAGGAAATGGGCCCAGAGAAGTTAAGGAGCTGCGCAGGGCCAGCCAGCCTGTGAAGGGTGGCACTCGGACCCGACCCAGAGCTGGTGGCCTCCCCCGGCTCCTGTGCACCAGAGGTGAGCGGGGCCCAGCAGCAGAGGAGGAAGTTCACAGCCCTGGTGAGAACCTGAGCTCCGGTCCTCACTCGCCGGGTGGCTTTGGGCAAGTCCCTTGCACTCCTTGAACTTCTGTCTCCTCATCTACAGAAAAGGGACAAGACCTCTTGCAAGGACTGTGAGAAGTGAGTGAAACAACATATAACATGCCAGAAAATACGAACAATACCGGCCACAAGGTAAGAGGGTCCCCATTGTGTAAGGCCTTTCTCTCCAAGCCTGGGCACCCCAGCGAGGACTCCCCAGTTTTAACCCCTCATCACAGAGCCTGAGACGCTGGCGCTGGGACCTGGCCCTAGTGAGTCAGCTCTCGGTGTGGGTTTAATGCTGTCCCTGGCAAAGGCTCCGCTGTGGGACGTGACTCTGGGAACAAAGGCACTGGCTGGATTCTCAGAGGTGCAGCCTGTCATTCCGCAACCCCATAATTAGGGCTTAGGACTTGGCGAGAGGCGGAGAGATGTCACCGGCCAGGGGCTGTCAGCGCATGGTGGTGAGAGGGGCTGTCCCCACCGGGTGAGAGGAAATGAAGAGTGTGGGAAAAGGGGGCCCCTTTTGAACAGCTGTGCTTGTCGCGTACGCTCCGCTGTAGCCAACAGCATCTGCTTTCTGAGGCAGACAAGAACGTTCTTCAGAGAGCTGGGCTGTTTCTTAAGGCAGCAGGTGAAGCCCGAGGCCAGGATTCAGTAATAAACACAGAAATTCAATGCTCTGGAAGGGGAGGGTGAGTGCGGGCGGGGTGAGGGGCAAACCCCAGAGGACGAGGAAATTCAGAGCGGAACAGTCTCCTGAGCTGTGCCTTGTGTCATTTGCTGCTTTTCCTGGGGAGTCAGGAGAGGCGCTGACTGCAGTGTGTCCCCGAAACAAGTGACGGCGAGGACTGGAACGGACATTTGCACACTCACGTTCACAAAAGCACTATTCACAGTCGCCAAAGGTGGAAGCCACCCAGTGTCCTTAAACGAGCGGATGACACAATGTGGTCTGTCCACACAGTGCAGTGCTATTCAGCCTCGGATAGGAAGGAGATTGCGCCCCATGCCACACCGTGGAGGGACCTCGAGGACACCACGTGCAGTGACACAAGCCATATACGAAAGGACAATGCCGAAATACTGGCTCTTCTCTCCTGTCCCAGCCTCTAGCTGCAGACAGTCTCTGATGCTGAGCAGAGACCGGTGTAAAGTCCAGGCCATTTTCTCAGCTGCGTGGGAGGGTCCACAACATGCTCCACTGTCCCACGATTTGGAAATAAGACTCAGTTCTCGAACCTTAGAAACAGTCTCTGCAACCTGTCTCGTTATTTATTTCGCTTCCCTCAGAGGTCTGGCTTATCGATTTGTCAGTGCCGCGTGGGACTGTCCGCCGAGGAGACCGGGTAGAGTAGTCGGATCTGATCTTGGGTTGGCCTCTGAGAAGGAGGTGGATTAACGCCGGCGGGAGGGAAGGCAGGGGTGTCGTTCACATGTGCTGCTGCGTGGCAGCTTGAGGTTCTGGGGAAATGTGAAAAAAGAATTCAAACACCCCTAGAAACCAAACTGAGTCTGTGAATTGATTTCCAGGGGAAGCTGTGTCCCCGGGCGGAGGCTGGAGCTGATTCTCGGAGGTCTCCACTCCGGCAGGCGGAGGCCCTCTGGACACAGCCGAGCCGACTGTCCTGGCATGCAGAGGCCGCACGCGTGGTGTCTCGCGCTCTGCAGCCCTGGCCTTGGGGGCCCTGCAGGTGTGGGCGGGAGGGAGGGTGCATCTGTCACCTCCTCAGAGACAAGAGCCCTGCCCCACCCACCACGGTCCTGCCGCACCCCACACCGAAGCCCAGCACTCAGCGAATGCCAGGCCTGGTGGTACTGAACGGAGCAGGGACTGCGTTAGAGGACCCCCGCCTGCCTCCTTCAGCCCCAGGATGGCCTACATGATGTCACCCTGGTGGGGCACAGCCACGGGGCATCTCCTCCCTTCCTTCTTGACCAGCCAAGACAGTCCAGAGGGAGAGGCAGGGCCTCCCTGCCCCGGGTCGGTGCAGCTCCCGGGAGCAGCGCCTGCCTCGTCAGCTCTCACGGGGAGCGGGAACTTCTGGAGACAGAGGGCCTGATTTTTGTCTTATTCTAGGAGATTCTATGCCTTTTCTTTTTTATCAGTAGACTACACAGTGAAGAGTGTGTACCAATTACATTGGCAAGAAGCCTCGCACTCTTCTTTCTTTGGTCTTTTATTTTTATAATTTTTCCCCTCTTGATTATACATAATATATGCCTATTTTAGAAATTTTGGAAACTACAGAAAAGTCCAAAGAATAATGTTACCATCCAGAAATAAAGATCACTGAAGTCTGGTGTATTTCCTTTGCTGGTACCTTTGTTTACAAATTCTTTAATAACCTCTAAGAGGCCAGCGTCTGCCCAGATGAAGGAACAGGAGTCTTTGTCCTGACAGGCTGAAAGCCCCAAGCGACGCTGAGAAGACTTGGCCTTGGGCAACCACACGCCTGGACGAGAAGCTCTCTTGTGAACCAAATTCCAGCCCTGCCAGTTCCTCGCTGGATGGCCCTGAGCAAGTTATTATCCTCGTCAGGAAACGGCTGCCCAGCCCCTGCTACAGGGCTGTTGTGAGGCACTGCTAGCAGCTGGCTGTGACTTTTACAAGCATCCTGGTCTGAAATCAGCAGGGTTTAAACACAGGCTTTCTGACAGCTCACGGCCCCGCTGCCGGGAACATCTGATGTGTCTGGAACAAAGGGAAGAGATCTGGATCCACAGCCCAGTGATGTGGGTTTGTGCCATGGTGTAGCCTCATCCTTCACGGGATCTTGGGCAAGTCACTTAACCTCTCCGTCCCTGAGGCCTATAATCTTTCCGAGGCTCAGTCTGTAAAGCAGGAATAGCAAGTACTCCCAAGCCTTTGCACAGGATTCTGTATGGGAAAGAACTCTGGGAACCATAAAATGCTTCCTTTTAGGGAGATGCTAACATGGCTGTATCCCCACATTTCTCACCTCCGTCCCCATCAGAAGATGCTCGGCGAGTCTGACCTGTCACTTGGCCACACCGTTCAGTGATATGGATGACGGTGGCCTCAGAGGGCTGTGCCCGGACACACCAGAGTCATGCACTTGGCAAGCAGACAGCACGGGCAAGAGAGGGTTAACTAGGAGAGGACTCCTGGCTTGAAACAAGCTGAGGCCAAAGAGGGACCCTGGATCGGCCTCCCACCATTGGCAAGCCCTAAGTCATTAAAACTCCTCAGGTTTCTTTTCCCTTCTTCTAACAACCATAAACACCTTCCTGCAGGCTCTGTCTGCAGGGATCAAACACCTGCGTGAAACCGAAGGAAAAGTATCTGTCAGCACCCAGGTTTCCCACCGCAAAGACAGCCCACTAGGAAGCCGGAGTGTTTTGTTTTCAAGTCTGGCACCGCACAGACCAAGCGGAAGACTTTCTTGCCCCTCTCCTTTATCCTCCCGGTTGGCAAAGGGAATTTCTGGGCGTGACGGAAGAGAGAAGACAGCAAGGCGGGTGCCCTTCCCGAGCGCCGAGGCCCAGGCCCAGGCCAGGGAGTCGCTGACCCTGACCGCAAGCCCAGCGAGAGGCGCCTGGGAAATGTTCTGAATTCCAGTCCCAGCTGGAGAGAAGAGAATCCCACAGCTCCGGGGGCGAGGCCCTTCTAGCCCACCCCCTTCCCGAAGCATCGCCCCCACCTACACCAGGCCACCGGCCGCTTACTGAGGCCACCTAGAAGGTAGAAAGCTGCAGGCAGTGTCCTTCTGGCGATGCGGGCGGCCTGGGACCAGCAGAGTTGCACAATGGCCTCTTCGTCCAACCCTGAGTTGGTGTCCGGGCAACAGAGATTGGATCTTAGCCTGGAGGAGTCAGGTGGCCCAAAGCCACCTAGTGCAGAGGCCACAGCCCTGCCTGCCACAGCCAGATGATGACACAGTCTCTAAATCCACTTGGGGCAAAGGTCAGGCCTCCTCAGCTGGAGGATTTCCACCTCCCTGTATCCCCAGCGCATTAGCCTGAAGGAAAATCCAACCTGCTTGCAGGTCCCTGGGGGGCGAAAGGTACAATTGTCATTTCCTTGAAAGCTGAGGGGTAGAGCTGACCCCCGAGAGAGCTGTTAGGATCCTTCCTTGCCTTAGAAATGAGCTAAGATCAGGCAGTCACTCTCTGCCTGGTAGCTGGTCTTGAGAGGGCTAGGGGCACACGATGGACGGAGCTGTCAGACTCATTGCCTGCAGGCGACGGAGGGGCACTGACAGCCACCTGCCTGGCTGTCTCATGGCTCCTGGCAGAGTCGCTGGATGGTTAGGGCCTGCCATCCCCTGAGGTCAAGCCCCCATGGCGTTGGGTGCTTGGCTTCACATAGGGAAAACATCCACACGACTGACTGAGTTACAGATTTCCAATCCGTTTCCTTGTCCGTAAGAAGCAAAGACAACATTAGCACTAGAGGCTAACAGATCAGCGTCGAGGGCCTGCCCAGGTGTCCCAGGTGTCGAGAAATCTTGACTCCAGCCTTAAAACACAGCAAAGATCATGCAAACCACTTTCAAGGGGTTAAAAAATGAGATCATTTTTGAAAACACCTTCAATGAGTTAACAGATGACAAACGAGGAATGGCATTAAGTTCAACATTTTGACTGAGACTTAAGAATGTGTTTGTTGTCCAAATGCTGAACTGTCTGTTTTCAATCCCAACAGTTCACAAGTCGCCTTTGTTACCGTCTGATCCCTGCGGCAGGCGGAAGCGCACGTCCAGTCTGCCTGCTGGTCTGCATGTGGGCCGCTCTGGGCCTCAGAGACGCAATCTTCTGAATGAGCGAAGTGGTCCTTGGACCACCCGGTTTGGGACGCTGCGAGTTTATTCACTGAGGCCCACTCGCCGACGGAGCCACGCGGTAGTTATAGCAGAGACAGGGCTCACCGCTGAGCTCAGGGATCCCTGCGTCTGCCCCTGAGGTCCCTCCTTGGTCCCCTGGCCCCAGACTTGCCCCCTTTCATTCCTTAATACTCCACATGTGGTCGGAAGAGCAGCAGCATAGCATCTCCTTAGAGCTTGTTGGGAACCCCAAACCACAAGCCCCACCCCAGACCAAAGGGGTCAGAATCTTCACTGTAACAAGAGTTCAGGCCCTGCCTCTGCCAGGTCCTAGTGAGATCATCCGAGGCAGGTTGCCTGACTCCTACCGGCCTTGGTTTACTCATCTGTAAAATGGGGACAGTAAGGGCAATTGCAGTTTTGTCGTAAGACTCGGAGATGGGGGAGTGGGGCTGGAGCTCTCCTGTTCAATCCCGGGTCTCTCTCTGCCCCCGTCCCTGTGCGTTCTGCTGACATCTGTGTGAATTTACGTTTTTAGGAATCAAACAGCACAATCGACTGCCTGTCGAGGACCCCGCGTGGTGTGGGGCGGAGCAGAGCACCGGCACTGCGACCAGAGGGGCCAGGGCTCAAATTTTAGCTTTCTCACTTGCTGCTGCATCCCCTCTGAGCCTGCTCCCTCTGCTGGAAAACGGGGGTCCAGGCAGGTGACGTGACGGTTAGAAGAGGTGAGCGAGGCATGCGGCCACCTGGCACGTGGGGAGCTCTCGATCAGTGCCAAGTCTCACTCTTGTCATTACCGCCACTGTCCCCCACCTCTGGCGCACAGAGCGGTGGCCGGGAGAGCGGGAAATGTTCCGCGAGCGTGGAGCGTTACTAATGTGATGTAAAATGCCGGCACTCTCTCTACCCGCTCAGGACAGCCTCTGGCAGCCAAATTCGTCCTGACGCTGACTGCTCTGCTGCCGCCTCCGGAGAAGGCTCTGCGCGTCCCCCACGCCGCTCCTCAGCCTGGCCACCTTCCTCCTTCCGGCCAGCACACGCTGGCCGGGCACCTCCCACAGTGGCCTGGCCAGAGAACGAGCATGACCCCAGGGCCCAGGCAGCGGCTCCCAGCCCAGGCTGCACACAGCCCAGGCTGCAGGCCGGAGCAGCGGGAGCTTTAGGATGCCCGGCCTCTCCCCCGGGCACCCGTTTGATCAGCCTGGGGCACGGCCAAGGCTTTGGGGGTTTGAAAAGCTCCCAGGTCGCTCTGATGAGGTGAGCGGCTCCTGTCTGGGTGAAGGATGACCAGGACAAGCTCTGGGGGACGCCCGCTGGTTCACGCACAGGAGATTCCTCCTCTCATCCCCACTCCAAAGGGGGGCCACGGGCAATGGTAACTCACTTAGAAGTAAATGCCTCTGCTCCCAGAAATAACAGAGTCTCAAATGAACCCGAAACTAACAAGAGGCGTCCTTGATTAATGGGAATATTTTCTGTTCCTCCTTGTGAAAACAAACCAAAGCCGTTTAGCCTCGGGAGCTCACGGAGCAGCTGCACCTTTTACCCACCCCCCGACAAGCACCCAGTGGCGACAGAGCCCCCCAGAGGTGCAGCCCGGACCCACGGGTGCCCCGTCTTCTCCGAGAGCCGACCGCAGACACACGCGCCAGGTACCCAACACGGATGTGTCAGAGTGGTGCGCTGAGAAGCATTCTCAACCAAAAAGGGATTAAACCAAAAAGGGCGTCCAATTAATCAGACATCTGAGTCCCCGAGCCCCTCCGCACCCGGACCCCAGTGATTCATTTCCGCTCACGAGGAGTTCCAGGCCCCGGTGGGGATTTGTTTCTCAGGAGTCTGAACTCACAAACCAAGCAGGCCTCGGCCTCGCCGGCTGACCCAAGGGTGACGGTGGCCCTGGAAGGCAGCTGGCCCTGGACTGCTGGCTCACCTGTGGCCAGGCAGGCCTGGCTCTGCTGGTGTCACCTGGGCCTCAGGTGACAGGTGGGGCAGGGGTTGCGAGCTGGGGGAGGGGTAGCTTCGAGCCTGGCTCTTCCGGGAAGCCACCATGCCAGACACCAGCCACTCTCCCCTGGGCAGCAGGAGCGGGTGGGGCACTCAGCTCTGTGTCCCACCCCCTTTATCAGACCGAGTCACCATCCTGCACATGGTGAGAGGTGGCCCTGATGGGAACCTGTTTTGCTCGTGGAGAGAAAAATGACTGAGCTGCTGCCCCGGCTCAGATACACAAGCCCTTTGCTCACGATTGTTCTGCCCAGAACGCCCGTCCCAGCCCTCGCTCCTGGGCTGACTCCTACTCTGCCCGTGCACAAAGCTTCTCCCCAGGCAGGACCCGTCCCGCCAGGCCCGCCCTGCCTGGGCGGCTCCTTGCACACCTCTCATTACTACAGCACTTTCCACGCGGAGCCCAGCTCCTCACAGTGTCCCCGGCACAGCCCTGCCCCAGGCCGCGGCCCCCACACGGCCAGGCCAGCAGGCCAGCGCCAGCACTCCGGCCACTCGCAACAGGCAGCTGGGGCGGACGGCAGGGCGGGAGTTCCCGGGAGAAGGGAGGGGGCAGTTCCACCCCAGGAGCAGTTCAGGGGTGCCAGGTGCGGTGTCAGGGAAGGGCGGGGACACCTTAACACGGTTCCCTTGCTTCCCCCATTAGTGCCGGTGATTAGGGGCCCACTGACACCCAGACCCCCTGCCACCACCGAGAAATGAGGTCTGCCCTTCAGCCCAGGGGAAGATCGCAGGTGTGCACTGTGGGGGGTAGGGAAGGGGTACACAGGGTAGGCCGGAGCGACACGGGGAGAGAGAGGGACAGAGACAGAGAGACAAGAGGCAGAGATAGAATGGCATCTTCTCTTTTCTGGGGACTCTTAGGGGGCAGCCACTCACCAGTTCCTTCCTGAGCCAGGCTATAGCTTCATCGATACTCTGGAAGCCTTCCAGCTTGCCAGGGGACAGGGGCCCGGCGCCCGGGCTGGTGCTCCCGGCCGGTGGGGGATGCCGCCTGGGCTCTCTCCGAGGGAGCAGGGGCTCCTCCCTGCCACGCTGCCCCTGCTCCGAGCTCGCCTCCTGCTCCGCAGCTGCAGCTGGCGTCTGGAAGGGCCACATCTGCTCCTCCAGCCTGGCCTGCCACTCCAGGTAGGAGGGCCTGCGGGTCTCCAGCCTCAGTTTCTCAGTGAGGGCCTTCAGGCTCCGGAGGTGGTCGTCGGGAGGTGCGGCCGCTGCTGCTGGCCCCTCTTCACCCCCCACCTCGTCCACCTGGATCTGGGGCACAGACATTCTATGATCTGCCCGGGCAGCCAGACGTGGGAGGGGCTGGGGAGCAGCGGGGGAGGCTCGGTGGGTGGCGAGGGTGGGTCCCGCTCTGGAGGGGCCTCATCCAGGCGGGGCCACAGCTGCCAGGTGCATCGCCGCAATGGGAGCCAGGAGGGACAGTGCAGTGAGCCACAGAGAGTGCCCTCCTGGGCCGGCCGTGGGTCTTCAGGGCTATGTCTTGCCCCGGACTCCTGTGGGTGCCATGCTTCACGGAAGGCAGGAACAGGCAGGTGTCAGCAGGAAGCTGGGGGGCAGCCCTTGCCAAGAGGATCTATCTGTCCTGGAGGTGCGCGCAGACCGGAGCGCCTGCCTCTCGGGGAAGCGCAGCTGGCGCGAGGCCCTGCAGGAAGGATGAGAACCGTGTCAGTACCGGTCCCTCCCCAGCCACGGGAAGGCTGGCATGGCCATTCCACAGCAGGGGAAACTGAGGCTCAGAGAAATCCAAGGACGGCAAGTAGCTAGGGGATAAGCCCAGGTCATCTGGATCTGAGGGCACAGGTCTCACCTCTGCAGCAACTGTCCAAAGGTCCCGGAGCCCGCCACGCAGACACAGGTGTGTCCAGGTGCCCCTGAGCCCTCCGCACCCCACCCACACAGCCCCTGCCCCGGCCCTGGCTCTTCCAGGCCAGTCTTAATCCACACCCCCAGCTCCTGTCTCCAAGAACGACACCTCCCCTCTCTTCTTCAGAGGAGGCAGCTGCCTTCACGCTGGAGGGTTAAACCAAGCGAGGCTGTGACTCACTGTTCTAGAAAGAGGTTCTCACGTTTACCCAAAGTGCCCACACAGCAGCCTCCTTGGCAAGGACCTCAGCTACGTGGTCTGATCTGGCCTCCCGTCCCCAGCGGGGAGGCACAAGTCCAGGCTCTCGCCCCACCGTGACGGAGCACGGGGTGGAGAAGTAACTCCGGGTTAGAATTAGACCCGAGCCTGCAGCCTGTGTGTCCCGGGTCCCCGGGGACCAGGCAGGCAGAGTGGGACAGATCAGAGCAGGGGACGTTTGACTTGGACCGAGGACAGAAGCCCTGGGCTTTCAGGGTGCGTTTTAGCAACCCGTGCCGGGGGATGCAGCTGTATGAGAGAAGGAACTGATAGGGAACGACATCCCGAATAAAGTTTAAATGACAAAAGTGAGATGCTCAGGGGCCTGGAGAGGGTGCCACCCGGAGTGTGAAAAGGAGGGAAAGGAAGAGAGATTTTTACTGACTTGAATATGCCTAAAAAACTCCCTGCCAAAAAGAAAAAGAAAGAAAAGAAACTAATCGCCGTGATGGCTTGTCTGGGGCGATGGGGACCGGGCAGCACAGGAGGGGAAAGAATTAAAATGGGAGGGCGGTGGCAAAAGCCCAACGGAGGCTGGGCCGTGGGGCCCCTCTCGGATATGCACGGAAGTGCTCGCGAAGAAGGAAGAGCAGAGCGTTTCTACAACCCCGGCAGGCAGTGGAGGAGGACGCCTTGCCGCCTTGCACGGGCCTGCCCCCGCGGTGGGCGTGAGCAGGATTCTCCATTCCCCGCCCCCCGCCGCCCCAACAGCAGGGAAACCTGCTCCCACCTTCACCAACACGCTGACTCCCAGGAGCCACTTCCCCGGCTCTGGGACGACTCAGCAGCGCGTTTTTAAGCCCCCAGGTGGTCCCAGTGAGCAGCCAGGGTGGAGCACGACCGTCTCCAGATGGCGACCCTAGACTCGGGATCCGAGGGTCTGGCTCTGGGTCCTGTCAGTCTTGCCAAGCCTCAATGCCCTCATCTGCAAAAGGCAGGCGACAACACCAACCTCCTGGCCCCTCGGGGATTGGCAGAACTGAAGTTTGCACGCACACTCTGAAGACAGTGTGCTCTGCAAATGTGGGGTATACTTCGGGGGGTCTTTCCGTGCAGTTTCATGGTCAGAATCCTCCAAACGTGAGGACTTCTTAGCTGCTTCCTGGGGCCCCTCCCAGGCGCCGTCTGCCTCTTTGCCGAGGTGCCAGAATCTGTTCTGAGTGTGCCCGGGGCGGCTGCATCTACAGGGCTCCCGTCCCACCTGCAAGGGCAGCTCCAGCCAAGCTTTTTGGAGAGGGTGCAACTGCAGACAGACGGGTGGGCAGCGTCCTCCCTCCCTGAGTTCTGTGAGCAGAAAAGACAGACAGGGAGGACGCAGGACGCCATCGCCCGCCCTCCCCAGAAACAAGCTCCCGCTGCAGAGGGCTGGGCGTCCTGCCCGCCAATAAAGGGCTCCTCTTGGGGTGTGAAACCGCGACAAGTCCTTAACTTTGCGTGGCTGCTTTGGGTAAAGGGAACTTATTTTAACTAGTAGTTTCTAAACCAATTCAGAGTAGACCTCGTCTGGACTTCTTGGAGGCTGAGCCTCCAAGCTGCCGAGTCTCCGGGAGTGCAGGAGACAGAGCTCACACGGGCTCATTTGAGCCTCACGGCCCCCACGGGCAGGTGGGATCATCCCATTTCACGGAGGGGGAGATTGAGGCTGGGAGAGGTGGCGAGCCTCACTCCTGGCCACAGGCAGGTGTCAGCGGCTGGACCTGGCAGGGAGCCCTCTGACTCTGGGCTCTGGGTCGGATCCCGAGGGCAGCCGCCAGCTCTGTGATCTTGGGCAGGTTGCCTCAAGACCATCCCATGCCTCTGGTTGGTCCTCTTCTGAGAAGTGGGGACAACCAGGCCTGGCTGCATAATTTGTAGGGCTCAGTGCAAAGTGAAAATGCTGGGTCCTTGTTTAAAAAGTCCTGGGCATTTCAGGACAGCAACCGTGGAGCATTAATCCTGTGCCCCTGCCTGGGTCCCACACCCAAGAAGCCAGCCCTGGGGATAATAATATCAACCTCGCAGGTCATTGTGGGAATTAAATGAGGTTACAAACACAGAGCTCCTAGCACAGGGCCAGGTACA